AGTGTATCCCAACCTGAACAACATAGCTTTCAACAATTTTTTACCTAGAAATAACGGATAGGGCAATGCAACGTTTGCCGGGCCAGCTAGTAATACATAATGATGATATACGAAACTGTGCATACCTGAGGGTTTGGAAAAGGCACCACTAGTATTCATGCTATTTATACTGTGATATTGAAAATTATTTTCATCTCTTGTACAAGACGTTGTGAAATTTCTTTTAGCATAGACTTCACCATGGAGACAACACTTACGAATACAAGGAACCGAATCACAAATTTTTAATTGTTGACAAGTACGAACTATAAATTGTTGACTATTTTTATCGAATTGAGAGTTTTCATTTTTAATTAACACTTCAATACAAAATTCACTTCTCTGAAATGATTTCTTGTGTTCTTTAAGTAACATTCTTCCACTTTTTATAACAATTGCTTCCGCCGTTAGCACATATTCAACTAAAACTTTATTTTTTGGACACTTGAACGAATTATCGACAAAAATCATTGGATTTTCAAAAATAGCAGAGTATTTATTGTAGTCGGGGTATTGTAAATAGCACTTGTTTATATCTGCGCCAAAGGAGTATCCATGTGGGCAGCATTTATTTATAATACCAATACTTTGCAACGTAACATCTGTTTTTTCTTGGCATGTTAAACTAATAAGAGTCTTGCTGTCTAGAATAAGAAGGCATGCATTTGCTAATACGGTAAATGATATATCTGTCAGTAGGGATACATTTGAATATCCGGTGTACGCACATTGTGGAAAATTTGTCAGACCGAATGTGTCATTACTTTCGACTAGGCCATATCCTTGTGGAGTTTCTGTTGTACCAATCAGGTCAATAGTGTTTCTATTATCGTTATCATTTAGACTGTCAAGGCTGTTAGTGCAATTATAAGTAGTTAAGTTATTCAACCCATAGATTTTATATAATATTGATTGTGGATTACAGCACATTTTGACTGAATTAATATTTCTAAATACATAACTGAAAACTAAGTATACAAAAAACAGTTTCACACACATCGGAAATAATCAGTATTTTATGTATAGCCGGTATTATAATTTTTGCTTTAAAACCAATGAATTGAATATACACTTTTCAAAGATGTACATATATGCATAAGAGTTGCACATATGTATGTATGTATGTATGTTCGTATCTACATATAAGAAATGTATCTTATCGCTGATTGATACCGCGCACAACAACGAAAAGACGTTGGAGTAAATGGGCCTCTTGAGTCTAACTGAATGCATGTGCTTCTAACGACTGAAAAAGTGGATAGCTTATATGTATATGTACATATGTATGTATGTACATATGTACATAAATAAATATCCATACATCTATACATACATATATACACATACATATGTATATACCCCAAGTACACATACAAATGTTGAGTGTTTATAGTAATATTTATCTGTAAACACACCACAGACATCCATTTAATGTGTGTAGCCATCAATATCATAGAATTTATACCCCTCTAGTACTTAGGATAGTAAACATGTACATATGTATGTATATGTATGTACATACATACGTGCATACAAGTATACTTACATAGATACATATATTACATAGCTCTAATGCACACATACACATGTGGATTACATTACATTTTATGTATGAACATATGTATGTAATTACTTTGTAGGTCTGTATATATGTATATACATATATATGTATGTAATTACTTTGTAGGTCTGTATATATGTATATACATATATATAAATATATACATACATATGTATATATCACGAGGGCAGGTTAAGAAAGTCCTTTATTTCTACATACAGTGGCTCACACCTTATTTCGTGCAGCAGCATAGTAAAACTTTGAAA